ATAATAATAACAACATAACAACAATATTGACAATAATAATTTTTGAAAACCATCTTCAAACGCCAACACAAAAACCGGCTAAAAAAAGAAAGAAAGAAAAAGATAGAAAAGAAAAAAAGGAAGAAAAACGTGAGACCGGAGCTACATTCATTAATAGTTTTTAAAAAAAACAACAATTAAAATTTTCTCCAAACAGGAATTGAACCCACATCCTTGCACAGTAAAGAGGAAAGAAATAAAGCACCAAATACTCATCACTAAATGATGTCGGTAACAGCGCTATTCACACACCACACAAAGTACTCCTGTGGACTGGAATATTATTATATTTTTAAAACCTAAACAATCGTACTTATAACGGAACGGAACGCAAGTCTTCTCAGCAAAAAGTGGAAAAAAATTAACGAACCGTAATACTCATCATATTATGCAAGTGTTCACACACCACACAACGCACTTCATCGCACAGGATTAAAATATGTTTCCCATGCAAATAATCTCTCTTATGAGGGAATAGAACTCGAGTTTTCTGCGAGCGAGACAAAATAGTCGAAGTATGTTTACAGATTAATGACTTGACAAAACCAGCTAAAGGGATGATCGCAGTTTTGTTTACAAACTATTGACTTGAAATACCGGCTAAACAAAGGGCTGGTAACAATTTCGTCAACACACTAATGACTTAAAATACCGACTAAAAGGCTTATCATAGTTTTGTTTACAAACTAATGACTTGAAATACAAGCTAAAGAAAGGGCTGGTCACAGTTTTGTTAACACACTTATATGACTTGAAATACAAGCTAAAGAAAGGGCTGGTCACAGTTTTGTTTACAAACTAATGACTTGAAACACCAGCTAAAGGGCTGATCACAGTTTCGTTAACACACATATATGACTTGAAGATACTGGCTAAAGAAAGGGCTGGTCACATTTTTAGAAAAGGTACTGTTGTAATCCTAGACAAGCGGCACTCGCGGCGTCAGTTGTGTGTGACGGAGTGGCCTATGATGTTGTCACCTCGCTGGCCTAAGCCGGGACTGAGTTATGAAATACGTCACGTCGAGATACAGTCGTATAGGAGGAGGAGGAGGAGGG